CGCGCGCTGAGCGAACAGCTTTTCAAACTTGCGCGCAAACGCTCGCGAGCGCTCGCTCGCGCAGTGTCGTTCAGAAGGCGAGCGCTCGCGAGCGTTCGGTCTCCTGAACACGCCTCAGTTTTACACACATCAGTGAGTCCTGCGTGATCACGCAGCAGCTCCAAAACTGCGTATTACCTAATCGAGCTTCAGATAAAATCGCCAGTGACGGTTCACACGTGCCTGCACGCACTCACATCACGATGACAGTTTTCTTTCAAGAGACACAGAGTCCAAAATGTAATTCATAATCGTAAGTAAAGTAATTTGAATTGATTGTTTACTTTAGCGTCTAGAGAGAAGCAAGAGCCCACAACACTATACCAGACACTACATATATAACATATACTAATATATATAAATATATAATATATATATAAATAACTATACACAACATATACTACAACACTATACCAGACACTATATATATAACATATACTAATATATATATAAACTTATAATATATATATAACTATACACAACATATACTACAACCACCACTATACCGGGTACTTCTATATAAATAATTAAAAGAAAACTCATATATAATTAAATCTCCATATAGTTTCAGAAGCCTCGTCGCCGTGCATGCAAGCTCGAAGATGGGACTCTTGGGTACCTTTGTAATCGGTCGGGGTGGTCCGCTTCGGCAGCTTGCAGTCGTCGGGCCGGAAGAAGCGGCCGCTGGCTCGCTGGTCGACCCTCGCGCCGGAGTTAACGAGCAGCTTCGTTAGCGCGTAATGTCCGTTCAACACGGCGAGGTGAAGCGCGCTCTGACCTGTCGACAACACACACAGCAGTGGTTCATCACACATCGCAGGCCGGGGTCGCCGCGACAGCCCGTAACTAAAGTGGAGGCTACACCCCCCAGGATAGGGTGAGGGGTGGGGCACGCATGTTAACACCTCATCAGATTACTCATTCGTCCTCCTGCGTCCTCCCTCTTTACCTGCCTCCATTCTTTCTCTTTGGAAACGCTGTTAATGCTCTGGTAGGTGTTACATCATTTGTATAGCATGTTGGGACACGGAGTAGTACCGAGGATCATGTAGGAAACAAGAAAATTGTTAAGCACTGGTTGTGCGTGCAGGAAACTCTCGTACTGAAATCACAACGATCGACGTTTACGTGTCTTTCTGTGCCCACTGCAAGCGGTATAGTGCAGTGCATGACTATCTAACGACTCCGTATCACGCAGCACGCAGCAGCCGCACGCACGCATGACGCACGATGGTGCACTATATTTTGATTATTTTTCACTGACTAACGAGTGAAATATGCATAAAACGGCTAAGTTATTTCTTGTTTTATTGTTTAATCGTTGATGTGATACACATCTGGATATTAGCCGCGCGGTAGTAATTGATTAATGACATGGAGATGATTGGGTATTAAAAAAGCGGCGGCAGTTCTGTGAATGACCTTAAAAGATTTCGTCTTGGAATAGATCGCCCGTTTTATCTAGGTGTCCACTCCGTCCATTTAGTGGATCATTGCACGATTTATTTGCATTTGGAATAGCGGTAGTAAGCGTGATAGAAACATTTATTCTCATGTTCATTCACACATGAAATGCCGTTGACTTTTCACTTTCATCATACGCTGTCACGGGGTTAAGGGTCGATCAGTATTTATTTGGAATTTATGCAATAAGATTGTTTGGGAATCATTTTATAGAATAAAACGCCATGTTGAAACTTACCGGTTGAAGCCATGTGAGGATCAGTAGATGATTGGAATCGAAGTCGCTCGCGCATCAGATAAATCTAGTCGAACGCCCTGTAAGCGATGTCGTGAGGTGCAGAGAAGAAGGTCAAGGGATCAGCACAGTTAACAAGGTTGACATAAGACAGATAACGTTGAAATCTCTTTAAATGTATTGCGTTTCGAAATGCTATTTTCGATTTTATTTAGTCGTATAGGATTCAGTTGAATTTTATATTTCATCTCGGCATTTCATCTGTTGGTTGTACAACTAAAGAAACCAGATTCCCTGGTTTGTTGTGGATAATTTATTATATCCATAGAGGAAAGATGGGAAAAGTAAAGAATTTATGGAGTTAGGTTTAGTGTACGTAAGAAGGTAGTAGGATTTAAACTTAAGATGCACTCTGGGGTGCAATCGCGCTCCCTGCTTTTGGTCTGTCAGTCATATCCTGGGCAAAGAGAGCGGTTAAGCCGGATCGAGGAATGGTACGGCAGTGAGAGCTCCTCTATGTATGGCGACAGGGTGAGCTGCGAACGGCCAGGAGCAGCCGATGGAGACAAGTAACACGCCTTCGACGGTGACGTATGCTGCAAACGTCATACACACGCTTATTCTTTCTTGACCACCTCGTTAACTTTGCCAAGGGCTTTGTCAGATGTCTCTCATGCGTCTGTTGCCTGTGGCATTTCCGATTCATAGTTTGCTACACCATTCGTGGGGTTGATCATGGACGCTTCGAGATGACAGAAGGGAACAAGTGCATAGCCTGTGATGTATCGATGGATATAGTTCGACGTAATTTCTCGCTCCCACTGTCGATCGATCTTTCGTGCCCGATTTGTGAATATAGCCAGTTATCTTAACTCTACTTTGAGAAAAAACGGGCTTTGGGAAAAATCGGTGAGTTTAGGACACGAAGCGTCAGCCCACAGCGAGCCGGAAGTTCGCCGCACCACGCATGTTAGCGCCATCGTATCAGATTCTTTCGGAATGCTGCTGAGCCATGGCCTTTCTTTTCCGATGTTCTGAGGAAGAGGGAAGCGCGTGCACTGAGACTGACCGGCCTCGCGACGGATGCGCACGTGTGCGTCGTGAATTTCCGCGTTTAATCGCGGCGTCTTTAATATTGTTTACTAATATGTTTACCTACAAAATAATGTCATAGTTTTGTATAAGTAAATTGATTGAATCCGAATTGCATTATCTTGTGTAGCACGGTATTCTGGTCCGAGTTTCAGTTGTGTGCTTCAACTGATCGCCTTGCTATTAATGCTAGGCTTTACCAGTCGTGGTATTTCAGATACCATTTGGATAACAGGTTGTTGGATATCGATGTACATTGTTCTTCCGTTTGTATAATAGAGACTTCACGTTTGGTTGGTCGTATGCTTTTCTGGATGTTGTTATTATATTAGATTGATACGACCAGGTTTTATAATGAGGTTCATTGATGCATGTAATGTAGTAGGTTTTATGATCATCCATTGTTGTAATCTTAGGCTATTTATCTTTGCCAAGGCGTGTCGTGTACTAGCAAAAGAACTGCATGCCCCCAATTTGCGAGCCCTTGATCAGGTCGTCGTAAGATGATTTTTTTTTTTTCTTTTTTCGGCTTGACGTGGGTCATAAGGAATCAAATAAAATGAAATAAAATTATATTAATAATTTTCTTGAATTTATAAATGAATAAATCTTAATTATTGAAAATAATAAATTAAATTTTAATGATCTGTTTTGCTTACCGGTAGAGGCCGACCATCTTCCGCCGGGCTGGGCGCCGCTCTGCGGGTTTTAAAGACTGCGATGTATTGATTAAATAAATAGGTGTGAATTTTTTTTATTTGCAAGCGCCGATTTCGGCCTGAGAACGGATGTCTCTTCGATAAGCTTCACAATAACGCGCGGGGGTAGAGGGTTGCAGGTTATCTGCGTACTGGACGTGATGTAGGATGTGTGACACAACTTCTTTGTGTTAATGTTCGTTCTGCTAAGTTGGAAATCTTAAGATTGGTGAATATATAATTATATTATTATGTTAATGTGATACCTCGCATTATGATTATATTCGTATCTTATACTCATATCTTATGCTCCAGTTATTATTTTTTTTTTTCAATTTGAAATTATTATTATATGTTTTGCAATATTTATCCGTGGACATCGAGTATATTTAATCTAGTGGATCCTTGTGCGACGATCGTCGTATGAGTGTTCCTTTGTATTATTTAGAAACTAATTTTAACGGCATTGCTTCGACGCAGCTACGCTAACAAAACTCATTGACACCTCGCAGCTAACTTTTTAGTATTCTACTATACGATTAATATTAACTGACAGTTTCATTATAGTGAGACCTGTTTATATTGGCGAAAGACCTCTCTATGTACGAAGAGGGTATGTATATGATGGGTGTAGATAGGTATTTTCTTGCGAGGCAATTTATTGAGCTGTATGTCCCAGTCGCGAGATTTTCCAGGTGTGTACTGACTGTGATTTTTCGCACTTCCGGGTAAATTAGTTGGATGCGTGATTTCCGATTATTGGCAGCGAATGAGTTTATTATTTATACGCGCCTGTATTACTTAAGTGGCGTGAACACATAAATTTGCATTCCTGATTTCTTGGATTCGCTGGATTACTAATATATAGTTTGGCACCGTTTTTCTTACTATTCGTCATTGATAATTAGTGATAATCAGTATGTAAACATCGTTTTATCGGATATTTCGGCTTCTTTCGTGTCGAGTTTCCCATCATTTTGTGATACGTATATACTAGTTTCCTCTTATCGCGATTAGTTATTTTGGCGAGGGTCAAACGTGTATGCGCATGAAGTTCTCTCAGTTCCCTACCGTCGTCAGCGGCTGACTGATTGCTGTCGTAATTGCGAAATGTAGAGAGTGATGGTCATGGTAAAAGCAGATCAGCAGTATATTGTTATTATCGCACGCTCCTGGTCGAAAACAATGATAACCTAGAACCAGCAAGCTATTTATTATTCGCTTCTTTTCCCAAATATCGTAGCTTACTTTCGCTGGGGAAAGGAATGTTGACCGATTTATTATTATCTTTCTAGAACATAGGACTATTGCTTTCTCTTGTGCACAATTCAAAGCTGCGGTCTGAGTTGCGGATTTCTCAATCGGAGGAGTTATATATTCGCATATTCTCATCGTGCAATACCGTCAGGCTGTGTAATAGATATCGTAGAGACCAACCATAGAAATATTTATGCGAGCGATTCTATGGGAACTATTCGCGTTTTTCCGCTCGATAATTCAATTACATTTTCTACACAAATAAGTTTCCGTTTTGATTCGTTTTTTTAATGTTCGATTATTTAATATTTTTGTCAGGATTATGCCGTATATCTAGAGTACCAGAACGACACTTTTTTAAAACTTAATTTTAACGTTCTTCTACGTTTATATGTATTTTAAATTAATGCCCACTAGTGGTATAGCTCTGATATTTTTATTTTACTGTGATTTTTATTTTTTAGTGAATATTTTATCCTCCGTGTATATTTAGGTTGTATCAGCTCATGATACATGTTAATATTATATGTTCTCAAGTTTACGTAATATTAATAGCTCCTACACTTATTAAATGTTTTAGTTTTTAAACTTTTATCTTCCCGTTTTTAGCTTACTACTGCAATGGGGCGTGATATTGAATTACAGCTCTCTTCACGGCCATTGTGCGGGGCCGCTGGTCTATAGCGGTAGTTTTGAGTGCGCGTCTGTATCTATATATGTATGTTTATGATTATCAGGTATAATTTATTATATTTATCCGTGAGTTTAACTCGTGCATTGTCAGGTGCCTCAGGAGTTTGCAGAAATTATATTCTTCTTTATTTAATGTTCTGAAATACGTCTATATATCGTGTTATAATTGTGATGTATACTAGGCCGCCTTATCAAATGCCATTTGTACAAGGATGCTAGATTGCTTTTTCAGAACGCTTATTTTTAATTCTACACCGAAAATCATTTTGTTTTACTATCTCCCCTTCAGATTAGGTTCCAGTAGCGTTATAAACCATATCAACAGATTAGTTCCGTTCTATGGATGAGTATATTGTTTCGGTGTGAGTCTAATCTGTGAGCGAATTTGATTACAAGATTGGTCGGCTAGAGGACAGCTTTTGTCTGGTTTGATTCCTAACGCTGGCGGGCGGATTGCGACCAATCCCGACCACCACATCTCGTATGCAACGATGCCCCATTTCCCGACACCTTTCCTCATAAACAATTTGAAGCATCCTCGCACACATAACACCTAATTTCGCAATCACCATTTCCGCACGCACAGTCCACCACTTACGACCCGACCAATCACTTCCACCACAGCGCATATCCGCATCATTCACCACGAGTGATTTCACCATCACGGCTGCCTCATATTTAAATCGCCTTTGTCCTATAATCCCACAATCCGGGTTATTCACCACTCCAGGCACCACCTACGACGAACCACCTACTACCATCATTCTAGTTATTTTTGATCTTATGTCTACCACCAAGCATTCCACACACCACCCACCACCCGACACAACTCCCCACCACCCCCCACACCAGTACTCTCACTTCAGCAGAACTCCACACACACCGCTGGCGCAGCTCTCTTTCTGGCTTTTAGCAGAGCAGGCATAGTCTCAGTACATGATATTAGTTTGGTGGTCCGTGCAGGTTTTGTTTCCAGCATATTTGGTTGTGTGACGCCCCGATAGCTTTTGATTGTGCTGTGTTGAGCCATGGGTCTCTTTCAAGACGCAGGAAAATCCGCTTCGAGGTCAGGGTTTTTTCGGTCGCTTTGGGCGCTTTTACTTTTACTCAAATATAGCTAAGTTCTTTTGTATGCGTCAGCTCGGCATTTGTATATCCTTTTTCTGGTGACTCATTTAAATAAGCCCAGCTGGATTTTCCGATTCTTACTTTATGCAGATATAGTCATGGGTGACATGAAGCACTATCGGTGACGTGGGACCGCGGGTCAGCCAACCAGCCGTGATACGTCGCCGGAGGCGAATATGCGCAGCTGTGACATTCGTGGGCGAGCCCACGGAAAGAGTGGGAGCTTGGGCAGAGGATCGCGACTGTTTTAAACATCAGTGGAGTCCTGGAGTTTTGATCATTCGCCGCATGTGGCTCCAAATCGTTTACCTAATCGAGCTACAGAGGTCGAATTAGGTCCAGTGAGGTTCCAATTGTTCCATTTGCGTGATTTATCCCCTTTCGTACAGTCCTCTCTCCTTTTTCAATGGACCACAGCGTGATCCAGTGTAATTCAGGCACTTAATATTTCCGGTTTATCGGCTAATATTAGATATTTTTGTGGAATTTTACGGCTTTATGTTTTTTTTGAGATATGTCTGTTCTATTTATGATGAAGACGGGACATGAGTTCGCACCATCTTATGGACTACTTTAGTCCCACACTCGTAGCTAGCTAATAGCAATTCGATCTAATATTTACTATTTTAAATAACAAAACATGAGCATTTGGTGTCTACTCAATTACTTTCTGTTATATTAATGTAACTACTATTTGTTTACCACACATCTAATTTTATACAACATTTATGTGACACCATTTGTCTCAGCTAGATTTCTATGTCCGCTCGTTTAAATATTTTTTATAATGAATTTATCTTTTAATTTATTCTTGTTTTTAGCTATTATTATTATTATATTATACATTTATTTATCAATAACATTTAAATATTTTTTTATTTTACAACTAACTTTTTGCATGCATATATTTTTTAATTATGCGTTATTTATTTTTTACCCGTTTTTACTTTTCTTATATATATTAATATGATATATCTTTAATTTTTGTATTATATTCCCATTTATTTTTCAGTTTTTTTTCTAGTTGCTTCTCTTATGTTTGCGTGTTCAATGTAAAAGCGTCGCATAGATGGGCTCCGTGTCACCTGCCTATTATTCTACCGTGGTCTTACCCTTTCTTGCTTTAATCGGTCCGGGGTGGTCCGCTTTCGGCAGGCTTGCAGTGTCGGGCATGGAAGAAAGGCGGGCGGCCTGGCTCGTCTTTTGGTCGTACCCTTGGCTGGGTTTAACGGGGGAAGGCCCAGCTTTTTCAGAGTTTAGAGGGTATGTGCAACGGAGGTGTAAGCGCGGCTTTGTCGGAATGGCTGATTTACCCGTCACGGGACAGTGGTCAGTGGTATTTTATTGATTTCTCGTGCTTTGAAATGAGCGGGGATTGCCTTTCTATATTATTTTCGCAAGTCGCATGGTGGTCGCAGTTGACGCTTCGTTAACTTAAGTGGGGCTAACCCTATGCTGGAGCTGAGTTGGTGAGTCTAGGTCGGTGCGGGGTAGCGGTGGGCAGGGTGGCGGTTAGGTTGGGATGGGGTTTAGAGTATGGTTGGCTAGTGTGGGTGGGAGAGGCTCGATTGCAGCTTGTACTTCCGATTGAGTGTGTGTCAGCTCACCTGCTCCGGTCTCATGTGATTGTTTTTTACGGAGGGTAGGCGCACCCTGGGGTTAGCGGTGTGCCTTCTGAGTGTATTTTTGGTGGTTGTTGAGGAGGGCTGGGGGTAGGGTGTTGGGAGGGCTGGTTTTTTAGTAGGTGTAACGCGTTGCGAGCAGATTGCCCGATAGGGTGGGTGCCTGTAGTGTGTGTTGGGGATTGCACAGGGTCACCTTTTCCTACGGACACGCGTATTTAGGAAGTCCTGGTTTCGCCATTCCAACATGTGATGCCATACTTTGCATGAACGCTGGGATGTTCCGGGTGCGGTGAAATAGGTCGTCTTACTCTGGTTATGTTTGACGGTAGGGTCTCTCGGATGTAGCTCGCAGTTATAAGGGGGGTGACAGAGAGGCTAA